TTCTCGTTTCTGGTTCCTCAGCATCTTTCGGTTCATGTTCAAACTCATATGCTTTGAGATCACTGAAGATTTTGGCTGTGGGTGTTGTTTTCATGTCACGATTATCTCTCATCGCGATGACCTTCATCTCCCATGACTTCGGCAATCCACGAAGAATTTTTAGATTCATCTCCTTTTCGGTGAGTTCTTTTCCAAGGTCTGATAGGTCTCCCATTAGTCTTGTGAATCTTAGCTCCATCTCCATGATCGTCTCGTTTGGTTGCATCTTAAAGTCTTCGAACTTCTTCATGGCTATTGTCAGTTTGTTGTCCTTTTCTTGTTCATCTCCTTCTCCCAAGTCCATTAGAACTTTCCATACTTCCATAGCATTTTTACATTTTCTGACTCTGGGGAAGAGTGAATCATCTAGAGAGTTGTAAAGAATGTTCCTTGCCACATTGTCCAGGTTTGCTCTTGTTCTTTCTTCCGAGTTATACTGCTCTTTCGGCTTTGGTATTATTTGTGGAGCATCTGGTCCTTGAGCAGCAGCCTGTGCATTTGCCATCATCACTGTGATAGGTCTAGTAGTTATGACGTCCCACATTTCATCATGAATAGAGCACAGAAGAGCCTGCATTCTTAATTTCCAGTCATCAAACTTGGCAAGACTAAAAGCAAGCTGTCTAGAGCGATTTTGTGCATGTTCCTTTTCCATTTTAAAAAAAAAATCGTGCAACTAGGAAGATCCCAAAAAAAAAAAAATCAAAGGTGGATCTACCAGGCAGTAAAATGCAAAAAGCCTTCACCGTTCAAGGTATTCGGCTCTGATACCACTTGTTGGTCCCGATAGATTGTGTGGTGAGTCTAGAGGGGGGGGGGGGGTGAATAGACTCTCGTTTTTCTTTAGATTCTTTAAAGGAAAAACCCTGACAATACTTTTGAGTAAGATAAGCACAGCGGAAAGGTTATTAAAAGAGGGTTGCACGAGTTTGATGAGAAGATAAGAAAAGTGATGAAAAGGATGATATGCAAGCAGTAAACTAAAGCAGTAAATAAAGAGATGAGAGAGACGAGATTTTATAGTGGTTCGGCCAAACTTTGCCTACTTCCACTCTTCTTCCACAACTGCTGGAAGGATTGCACTAACACTTTTTAGTACAATTACACAAAGACTTCCTTGATCACTAAGCCGGACAGCCTTTGAAGGTTTTTCAACTCCGAGAGTTTACTCCGCCTCTATCAACTTCTTCTTCTAAGTTGAGGTTGGTGAGAAAGTATTTCTTGATTCCTCCAACTGTGAAGTCTTGTAGGTGTGGGATGATTGCTTCAAATGTGCAAGACTTCTTACAAGATGTAGGGCAGTGATGGATGATCTACTTCAAATGCCTTAACACCTTAGCTAGCTGGTTCACAAAAAGCTTTGAGATTTGTTCACTTTCAAGAGCTTTTTGCAAGAGAGTAAGTAGAGTGATAAAATGAACCAGCGCCTTCTTAGTTGATGAAGGTTGGTTTATATAGGTGATGAAAATTCATCCGTTGGAGGGAAATGAATTTTTTAAACCTTTTATCTGTTGGACAAGGACCATGGAGCCTCATGCATTTAATGCTCCATTAATGAGTTTGTACTATGTAGCCGTTGAAGGTATGGGGGATCTGATGACTTTTGTCTTTTAGCTCCAGAGATAGTACATCTTCATTAAATGCTCTTTGGATAACGTGTCCCATGAGTTGAGGTCCTTATCGTCCTAGGATGTTGTCAAATCAGGCAGGTAGAACATTCTTCTAGTTGATGAGAAGAAGAATACTTGTTGAAAAGAACTGTCTTCTTAATGACAACTCCTTCTTTCATTGCTGTGGAGCCTTCTTTCGTCTTGATCAGCCTATCTTCTATTCATAACTCCTTTCGTGTGTTTGTTCTAGCTTAACACGAATTACATATGAGTTATGGCAACTTTCGTCTAGAACGAAAGTAGCGATACAAGAAAAACGAAAGAGTTAGGGGTCTACTTTCTACATTACATTGGTATCATCAAAATCCTAATACAAGGTTCCTAACATGTTATTTACCGTTTTGGAGCCCTCCACACTGATTCACCTTGGAATTGAGTCATTGAGATTGACTCCGCAGTGTATGATTAATGATTGTGTCCTTTGTGGACTTGGAACTTTGATATTGTTATTGATTGCATAACCTTGATGAGAACTATCCATGTTGCTTGTTATGATTGTCTTACTTTGTTCATTATTCCTGATCCATTATCACTATCTCGTTGATTTAGTCTCTCTGTTGACGTCCTTGTGGTATAATGTGGTATTGTTGGGTATATCTCTTGTACGGTCTGGTTTTGATTCCATTCCTTGTGATTTATTGAATTAGAGTTAATTAGAGATATACTTATGTATTCCCAAGTCTCAAAACTATTTCAAAGTATCAAATGTATATCTATGTATCTTTACACATTGGAGTGGAGTTACTTAGCATAATCGCTAATGGTTTCAAACTGTTTTGAGGTATGGAGTAGTCAACTTTCGAGAGCGCTCTTGTAACATCTCGTGTTACGACTTTCAAACCCAGAATAATTATGTAATTAATCCCGCTAAGAATAGTTAAAAAGAATTTAATTTAGTGAAAATTCCCTTAATTAATTAATGAGGTCCGCAATGGACCACGGACCCTTGCCTAAACTAGAGCCTTTAAGTCTGTTAGGAATAAAGGAAGTGGGCCTTTACCACTTAGATCCTAACTAGGATTCCTGAATCTATAAATAGGGCATTAGAGAGTACTTACAACCCTTTTCCATCCATATTTACATAACACAAAAATCTCCCCTAGAAACCCAGCCAGGGAATTCCCCATCACCAAGCCTAGGAAGATCAATTGGAGGAAAACCTTGGGAAGGAACCTTGGGATCTAAGGAAGATTTAATTAAGACTAAGAGGTAATCCATGTCTTACAAAACCTATTTTCCTTGTTATATCTTATTTATTGGCTCCTTTGATAATCGTATGTATGATCTCGTGATTATGCCTTGATAGAGCTTGTCTTAGGGTTTATGTTGTGTTTGCTTGATAATATTGATGTTCTTAATATTTGTAAGTGATTACATGCATGATCTTGTGTTTAAGCATGTTTAGAGCTTGTCGTTAGGGTTCTATATGATAACATCTTAATGTTCTTGAGGTTCTTGATGTTCTTGATGTTCTTGAATTGCTATGGGTTCATTCTTAGGTCTTGGCATGATTAGAAGTTGTGTTTAGGATTTAATTGTGGTGTTTCTTGGCTTAATTCTTGTTGTTCAAGTCCATATTGTAGTTGATATGTTTTGGGATGTGTTTGGACTTGATTTTGGGTGAAAGTGATGAATTCCCGGGTTGGGAAAGTCTCAAGGAACATGTGTACCAGCGGTTAGTCGGTGGGGGGACGAACCCCCACCTGACAACCCGCCGGTACGGTCACCTGTACCAGCGGGTGGACGACCACCCGCTGGTGTACCCGCGGTACAAAGCCGTCCGCCGGCGGGTGGTTGTCCACTCGCGTTCCGCACGCAGGTACTGGCGGCGTGCTGTGTCGTTTTTCCCCGTTTGTTGTTTCCCCGTCCCCCGTTGTGCCCCGTTTGATGCTTGGGAGTCTAGTTTGATGTTGCTGGTACCGTTTTAGGAGTTGTGAGTCTTGATTATTGCATGTGGTTTAAGTTGGTATCCCGTTGGCCTAGGATGAGAGTTGTATGTTCCCTTGAGAGCTTTGTGTCCTTCCCTTGTTGTGGCATTGCGAATATTGAGTATTGGTATTTGTAATTTTGCATTTCCTCAATTTAAGGATATTAATAGGATTAAATGACTGATGGATTAGACTGACAGATTCAACGATGATGTCAGTCAGATAGATAGATCATTGATTTATTTGCAGAAAGAGTAAACTAAGGCAGACAGCAAAAACAACACACAAGATGTTTACCCAGTTCAATACAGTGTGTATCTACATCTGGAGGACGATCACAGAGGCGTCCAATCCACTAACTCATAATCCAATGTACAAAGGTAGAGAAACAATAATCTCACCCAAGTGCCCCACACAAGGTACATACCCAGTCTACACAGGTTTAGTGGATTGTTGAAGTTGGAGAACCGTGCATACAGAAGTCCAATGAAGTCCCTTCACTTAGAGAGCTAACTCTGATGCAGTCCACTTCAGTGACGCAGTCTAATGTTGTTCCAACAACGGTGTGATCTTAGCGTCCTTTCGTTTAAGCAACGATATCTCTTCTCAAGTTCTTCATCATAATCACCAAGAACAAATTGTCTTGAGAAGATGCATGATAATCAAAGATGTGATCTTCTGTATAGTTAGGAGTGTTTCTTTCTTCTAAAAAACGTAACCCTAATTCATGACCGAATGAGGGTACTTATACTTCCATAGCAAGAACACTCTCCAAAAATATCTCTGATTGTAGATGGTAGGACGATATGTGAAGGATGTAATCTTAAAGATTCGGTCCATACCTTTCCAAGACAGATCCGCTGATATTATTTCCAAAGCTGACTTCTTATACCGCATTCAGTGAAAAGGAAACATCTTCCTAAAACAGATCTCCAGCGTAAGTACGCTTGTTGTTGTATCTGATCAATCAGTCTTCTGTAAAACAAACCGACACCAAGCTAACCCTATCTTAGTTTGCCATAATAATATTGCCAATTATATGTTGGGTTTTTTTTGGAGCAATTAAAACACTAACAAACTCCCCCTTTGGCTATTATTTGGCAAAATAACTCGACTAAGATAAAACACAACCTAGATAGGACGAAGATAACAATTGCATAAAAGTCAAGGATCTGAATTACAATTCATAACAAAAACACATCACACAAATCATGCTGAACAAAAACGACAATCTTCATAAGGATGGTGTCATCACAATCAGACGCCCAGACAGGGCCAGAAGATACGAAGTCCTACAAAAACATCAAAACACTCCCCCTGAGTTTCACACTCCCCCTTTTTGCCAATGATAGTCAAAGCATAGTCAAGTATTGGAGGAGCCCTCACTGTCGGACTTAGCAGCATCAGTAGTAGCAAATTCAGTCAAGCTCAAGCGGAGAAGAACAGTAGCCAATTCAGTACGGGCCGCAGTCAGCTGCTTCGCAATGATTCCATGAACAGTCTCTAGATCAGATACCCGGGCCTTCAAGCGAAGAGAGAGCTGAACATCCTTCGCATGTGGCAAATCATCAACCACATTCTCAGCATTAGAAGAGGGAAGAGCATTCACCGGCGTAACATCTCGGATGTCATTTCCAGTCAGAAGGCGAGGATCAATAGTATACAGAAGAGTCGGACTGATAACCTCACTAGGCATTGGCACAAGGCCCTGCGATGTCAGAACCCCAAATATCAGATTAGGATAAAGTAACCTTACCTTCTGCTCTCGCGGATGAATCAATGTGAGGATATGATAAAAGATCCATGTCCCCAGATCAATAGAAATTTTAGTTCCAATCCAAAACAAGGGAGCCGCCAATTGCTTGCCAACCCTATGAAAGTGAGCAGATGGTAGCCAGTTGTGAAGAGCAATACGGTGTAGAATGACATATTTGGAGGTAAGTCGCGAGCTAGGCAGAGTATCAGTTTCACCCGTCGGCCATGCCGGAGTTTGTCCACCTGTGAGGGTCTTTGCCACCAAATCCCAGTCCGTGATTTCTTCTTCATCAACAGCCTTCAAACCATAATATTCATTTATCGCATCTGGACCGAAGACATGCCATTTTCCCCGGATGAAGATTTGCATGCACCGCGTCTCGGTCAAATTGTCAATCTCCTCATTAAGATTACAATAGAACTCGTAAGTCAGTAGCTTCGAATAAGGACATATGGAGGTGACAGTCTTCAATAGGCCCACATTACTCAGCAAAGGCAAGATGTCGCAAACAGAGTTCAACTGGTGTTCATCAACGGACCTTTGAACTATAAGATCTCTCTGGATCATCGTGGACCATTTTCCTTGAGCAGAAGATGAGACAAACTGAGGTTTATAGATGGTGGTGTCAGGATTCTCCGTAGCAGTTTGAACCTCAGGTGTGACACTTCATCCTCTTGAGCGAGTAGTTGGTTTTCCCTTCCGGGTAGAGTTAGTAGGAACTATAACAGGAGCCTTGTTCTTGATGGATGACCGCAGAGTTTTGAACACTTGTTGCACGGGAGGATCAGCTTCAGTTTTTACTGATTCAGCAGACTTTCTTATCTTCTCAGGTTGAGCCACATCAAGATTGTCATCACCTGATTCAACAACAACTCTTTCAAGGACACTCTTGCGTTTGGATTTTCTCATTTCCTTGGATGGAGAATGCTTAGAAGGGCTTGGTGATACTGAGTGGCTTGTGTCTGATAATGGGGCAGATGAGTTTCCCAGAAGATTGGTAATCTCTCGAATCTTGAAGGTGGTTGAATCTGGATGAGCTGTAGCTTCAACAGTAAGGGGTCTAGACAACTGGGCTTGTGAGCCATACACTTCAGCAAGAATCTTTTCATCTTCACTAGAGGACTCAGTAGGATGAATAACTCGATATGGTTCTGGAATAGAGGCAGAAGATAAACCTGCAAAATGTCGGACGTGTTCAAGGCTCTCGGCCAAAGATGAAGATGTATTTGATCAGATGCATGAGGGCTTGAATTACTGGCAGCATCTCGTGATTATGCCTTGATAGAGCTTGTCTTAGGGTTTATGTTGTGTTTGCTTGATAATATTGATGTTCTTAATATTTGTAAGTGATTACATGCATGATCTTGTGTTTAAGCATGTTTAGAGCTTGTCGTTAGGGTTCTATATGATAACATCTTAATGTTCTTGAGGTTCTTGATGTTCTTGATGTTCTTGAATTGCTATGGGTTCATTCTTAGGTCTTGGCATGATTAGAAGTTGTGTTTAGGATTTAATTGTGGTGTTTCTTGCTTAATTCTTGTTGTTCAAGTCCATATTGTAGTTGATATGTTTTGGGATGTGTTTGGACTTGATTTTGGGTGAAAGTGATGAATTCCCGGGTTGGGAAAGTCTCAAGGAACATGTGTACCAGCGGTTAGTCGGTGGGGGACGAACCCCACCTGACAACCCGCCGGTACGGTCACCTGTACCAGCGGGTGGACGACCACCCTGGTGTACCGCGGTACAAAGCCGTCCCGGCGGGTGGTTGTCCACTCGCGTTCCGCACGCAGGTACTGGCGGCGTGCTGTGTCGTTTTTCCCGTTTGTTGTTTCCCCGTCCCCCGTTGTGCCCCGTTTGATGCTTGGGAGTCTAGTTTGATGTTGCTGGTACCGTTTTAGGAGTTGTGAGTCTTGATTATTGCATGTGGTTTAAGTTGGTATCCGTTGGCCTAGGATGAGAGTTGTATGTTCCCTTGAGAGCTTTGTGTCCTTCCCTTGTTGTGGCATTGCGAATATGAGTATTGGTATTTGTAATTTTGCATTTCCTCAATTTAAGGATATTAATAGGATTAAATGACTGATGGATTAGACTGACAGATTCAACGATGATGTCAGTCAGATAGATAGATCATTGATTTATTTGCAGAAAGAGTAAACTAAGGCAGACAGCAAAAACAACACACAAGATGTTTACCCAGTTCAATACAGTGTGTATCTACATCTGGAGGACGATCACAGAGGCGTCCAATCCACTAACTCATAATCCAATGTACAAAGGTAGAGAAACAATAATCTCACCCAAGTGCCCCACACAAGGTACATACCAGTCTACACAGGTTTAGTGGATTGTTGAAGTTGGAGAACCGTGCATACAGAAGTCCAATGAAGTCCCTTCACTTAGAGAGCTAACTCTGATGCAGTCCACTTCAGTGACGCAGTCTAATGTTGTTCCAACAACGGTGTGATCTTAGCGTCCTTTCGTTTAAGCAACGATATCTCTTCTCAAGTTCTTCATCATAATCACCAAGAACAAATTGTCTTGAGAAGATGCATGATAATCAAAGATGTGATCTTCTGTATAGTTAGGAGTGTTTCTTTCTTCTAAAAAAGTAACCCTAATTCATGACCGAATGAGGGTACTTATACTTCCATAGCAAGAACACTCTCCAAAAATATCTCTGATTGTAGATGGTAGGACGATATGTGAAGGATGTAATCTTAAAGATTCGGTCCATACCTTTCCAAGACAGATCCGCTGATATTATTTCCAAAGCTGACTTCTTATACCGGCATTCAGTGAAAAGGAAACATCTTCCTAAAACAGATCTCCCAGCGTAAGTACGCTTGTTGTTGTATCTGATCAATCAGTCTTCTGTAAAACAAACCCGACACCAAGCTAACCCTATCTTAGTTTGCCATAATAATATTGGCCAATTATATGTTGGGTTTTTTTTGGAGCAATTAAAACACTAACAAACTCCCCCTTTGGCTATTATTTGGCAAAATAACTCGACTAAGATAAAACACAACCTAGATAGGACGAAGATAACAATTGCATAAAAGTCAAGGATCTGAATTACAATTCATAACAAAAACACATCACACAAATCATGCTGAACAAAAACGACAATCTTCATAAGGATGGTGTCATCACAATCAGACGCCCAGACAGGGCCAGAAGATACGAAGTCCTACAAAAACATCAAAACACTCCCCTGAGTTTCACACTCCCCTTTTTGCCAATGATAGTCAAAGCATAGTCAAGTATTGGAGGAGCCCTCACTGTCGGACTTAGCAGCATCAGTAGTAGCAAATTCAGTCAAGCTCAAGCGGAGAAGAACAGTAGCCAATTCAGTACGGGCCGCAGTCAGCTGCTTCGCAATGATTCCATGAACAGTCTCTAGATCAGATACCCGGGCCTTCAAGCGAAGAGAGAGCTGAACATCCTTCGCATGTGGCAAATCATCAACCACATTCTCAGCATTAGAAGAGGGAAGAGCATTCACCGGCGTAACATCTCGGATGTCATTTCCAGTCAGAAGGCGAGGATCAATAGTATACAGAAGAGTCGGACTGATAACCTCACTAGGCATTGGCACAAGGCCCTGCGATGTCAGAACCCCAAATATCAGATTAGGATAAAGTAACCTTACCTTCTGCTCTCGCGGATGAATCAATGTGAGGATATGATAAAAGATCCATGTCCCCAGATCAATAGAAATTTTAGTTCCAATCCAAAACAAGGGAGCCGCCAATTGCTTGCCAACCCTATGAAAGTGAGCAGATGGTAGCCAGTTGTGAAGAGCAATACGGTGTAGAATGACATATTTGGAGGTAAGTCGCGAGCTAGGCAGAGTATCAGTTTCACCCGTCGGCCATGCCGGAGTTTGTCCACCTGTGAGGGTCTTTGCCACCAAATCCCAGTCCGTGATTTCTTCTTCATCAACAGCCTTCAAACCATAATATTCATTTATCGCATCTGGACCGAAGACATGCCATTTTCCCCGGATGAAGATTTGCATGCACCGCGTCTCGGTCAAATTGTCAATCTCCTCATTAAGATTACAATAGAACTCGTAAGTCAGTAGCTTCGAATAAGGACATATGGAGGTGACAGTCTTCAATAGGCCCACATTACTCAGCAAAGGCAAGATGTCGCAAACAGAGTTCAACTGGTGTTCATCAACGGACCTTTGAACTATAAGATCTCTCTGGATCATCGTGGACCATTTTCCTTGAGCAGAAGATGAGACAAACTGAGGTTTATAGATGGTGGTGTCAGGATTCTCCGTAGCAGTTTGAACCTCAGGTGTGACACTTCATCCTCTTGAGCGAGTAGTTGGTTTTCCCTTCCGGGTAGAGTTAGTAGGAACTATAACAGGAGCCTTGTTCTTGATGGATGACCGCAGAGTTTTGAACACTTGTTGCACGGGAGGATCAGCTTCAGTTTTTACTGATTCAGCAGACTTTCTTATCTTCTCAGGTTGAGCCACATCAAGATTGTCATCACCTGATTCAACAACAACTCTTTCAAGGACACTCTTGCGTTTGGATTTTCTCATTTCCTTGGATGGAGAATGCTTAGAAGGGCTTGGTGATACTGAGTGGCTTGTGTCTGATAATGGGGCAGATGAGTTTCCCAGAAGATTGGTAATCTCTCGAATCTTGAAGGTGGTTGAATCTGGATGAGCTGTAGCTTCAACAGTAAGGGGTCTAGACAACTGGGCTTGTGAGCCATACACTTCAGCAAGAATCTTTTCATCTTCACTAGAGGACTCAGTAGGATGAATAACTCGATATGGTTCTGGAATAGAGGCAGAAGATAAACCTGCAAAATGTCGGACGTGTTCAAGGCTCTCGGCCAAAGATGAAGATGTATTTGATCAGATGCATGAGGGCTTGAATTACTGGCAGCCTCAATCTTGGAGGGATTAACAGATGGGCAGATCTCAATTGGGGACACAGCAATTTCAGTAGAAGGCAGAGCAGATTTCACAGTATCAGCAGAATACACAACCAAACTTAGATTGTTGACCAACTCAGATGCTTTATTTTTCTCACCAAATACATCATCAACAACATCTTTTGAAGGTTCAGACTTTTCAGAGAGGATACAAGGAGGATTATCAGTCACAGAAGTTTTCTCAGAAATTAACGCCTTCGCATTATCAGATTAAACAATAGGCATAACAGACTTAATAGCATCAGAAATTAAATCATCAGGCTTGTCATGGGAGATTTCAATAGGAGATTCAGAAGTATTGGACCTGTTACGAAGAAACTCAATCCGGTGTTTGGCTTCGTCCTGGGCAGCTTATAGGTAGGTAGAGGGGTTGAGTTGCTGCTCGACGACGTGAGACTTCTTCTGATTCAAGAGCCCTTTAAGCAAAATATTGAAGGAATGCCCCAGCACGATTACCATCTGCAGGCTCTGGAATAGATGCAGGACTAACCTCATCACTCGCTTCTGAGGCCAGCATGAAAAGCTCACTGGTGTCATCCTCGGACCAGTCTGCATAGAACTCTGGATAATCTGAGAGCACAGTGACCATGATTTCATCGCGTAGA